GAAATTTATAAGGTTTCTATACGATTCTTATAGTAAAAAAAGAAAAAAACTTTTTTTTTGTTGCCTGGAGGACGAGGACAAAGTTTTGAACTTTCAAATTTTTGAACATTTTTACTAACATAAACATTTAACAAACATAAACATTTTTAAATGACATTAAATAACATAAACATAAACATGAACATTAATAACATAAACATAACCACAGAATTCACTAAACACAAAGGCTAATGAAAATACACAATAATATGGGCTACGCCGCGGTTGATTAAAACATAAAATTGAATGATTATTATCAATTCAATAAGATGATTTGTAGGTTTGGATATATTCGTCTATGTTCAATGTGTTATCGACAACTGGAATACGAAAACAAAAATGAAATACTTTCAATTTAGTTAGTTTTGATAATAACTTTTTTTCTAAACGTCCACCATCAATAAATTGATCAATACATAAATTCAATGATAAGTATTCTAGATCAGAGCAACACTGGGATAATAACAATTCTAAATAATCATAATCATGAAGAAAAGCGTATAATACAAAACCTTTTAATTTTGATAATTTCGAAGGAATATTTTTATCGTAATCAAATTGCACGTCATTTTGTTGTTGTTGCAACTCCTGCCATCTTCGTCTATTCGGTATAACAATATTTACATATTCCATTGCAGGTAAATTGTTTAACAAAACATATACATTATCGAAACATCGTACTCGTATTGTTAACTTGTTGTTGTTCGTACTGTCAACAGTTTTATACCATTGTCGTTTGAAGCATCATGTTCGAATGAGCGTCTGGCAATATAGACACGTCCGATACGATTGCATATGGATTTTAGTTGTTGAAAAAAATTTTTTTCGATATAGGTAAAATAAGATGATTATTTCATCTGCGAACTCAACGGCCAAAACAAGTAGCACATTTTAGTATGAACATTTATTCGAGATATAGATTGTTAACACGTAAAATAACTTACATTATTCCAAACAACATCTGAAAAATAATCGATATATTCCCCAATTTCTGAATATTGTCCTCTATATTTTGTGTATAGCCATACCAA